TGAGTCTGTCACATAACTGTGGCAGTTGAGGTATTACCAAATAGCTTAAGATTAAATTCTGTAAAGAGTACATTTGGGGGGCTGGAGAGATAGCACAGCGGGTAGGGTGTTTGCCTTGCATGCGGCTGACCCAGGTTCAATTCCCAGCATCCCATATGGTTCCCTGAGCACCGCCAGGAGTAACTCCTGAGTGCAGAGCTAGGAGTAACCCCTGTGTATCATCAAGGTGTGACCCAAAAAGAAAAAAAAAAGTTTATTTGGGCAGAACCTTAAACAAAGGATCTTTGATTTTAAAATGTTTCTTACATATATTTAAATGAGTTCAGCCTTAGTGAATACCATCTTCTGCAATAGAATATTTTGTCTAGTTATGATTAAAAGGACCTCCATGTAACATTTATATTCATATCTATAATGGAGTAGCTGAGACTGGGTAATTTTTATCAGTTTTCTTTAGAGACATCAGAATTTTTGTAGTGATACTAGTCATATTTTTCAGGCTGGGGGGAAAAACCTTCATTAGGATATTATCAAGTTCTGCTACATTTTAGTAGAAAGACAGTATATAAGAAGGAATATATAGAATGCTGTGGTTTTTTAATTTTACTTCTTAGGTAGGCTTTTAGGCTTTACTTTTTGACTTAGTATTTTCCACTGTTGATTATGTTGTTTTTCAACTCACCCCTAAACTTTTAGCTAATTCTCCTGTGTGATAATGTGGTCTCTTTGGTACACTTATTTCTAAATGTCTGTGGCTATCTTTCCTATAATATATAAGTAAAATAACTTACTATATGACAATTGAGGTTTAGAAATGGAATTTTGGAAGAAACTATAAAGTTACATATTCCCTTTCTCTAAGTGATGTTTCAATTTAGTATAATATGTAAGCTGTAAAGATTGTTTCCTAGAATTAAGGTGTATTTTTCTCGTACTGCGCTCTCTCTCGCGCTCTCTCTCGCTCTCGCTCTCTCTCGCTCTCTCTCGCTCTCTCTCGCTCTCTCTCGCTCTCTCTCTCTTTCTGCCTTTTTTTATTTTCTTTTTGAGTCACACCCAACAGTGCTGAGCATATCGGACCAAAGGGGACCATATGGGATGCTGTGGATTGAACCCGGGTCAGCTACAGGCAAGGCAAAGTCCCTATCTAGTAGTAGTACTCTTTTGCTAGGTAGCATACATATAACTAATTTTTAAGTAGATTCATGCAGAGTGAACTGTTGTAGACATAAAACATAATTGGTAGACAGGCATGCATCAGTTGTGAAATATTAATAGAGTGATGCCCCAGGGAATTCCTGCAGTTTAAATCAGCCTTTTTAGGGAACATTCTCAGCAGAAGACTGAGATTAACAAATCACAGGTCACCATATAAAAAGCTATTCACTTAAGCGATAAGTTGTAAAGACTTTCCAGACTAAGAAATGAGTTTTTCCCTGTGTCATTATGCAGAGAAATCCAAAGGTTTGAGGAAGATCAACTGAAAGAAAAATGAGCCAAGGTGAACTAACTCAAGTTACCACTATCACTTTCCTCCCGTTGTTCATCCATTTGCTCGAGCGGGCCCAGTAACGTCTCCGTTGTGACACTTGTTATTGTGTTTTGGCATATCAAATACATCATGGGTAGCTTGCCAGGCTTTTGCCGTGTGGGCGAGATACTCTCAGTAGCTTGCCAGGCTCTCCAAGAGGGTCGGAGGAATCAAAACTGGCTCGGCCAGGTCAGCCCGTGCAAGGCAAACGCCCTACCCACTGTGCTATTGCTCCAACCCAACTCAACAGTTGATCCTAGAAAATATAAACAATATTAGGAGCAGAGGGTAAAATTTCAGTACTCTTGGAGATTCTAAAATGACATTTTATCCACTATACTCTTGGAGATTCTAAAATGGCATTTTATCCACTAACCATAACAAACGGTTACTGTGGGGAAAAAATTAGACCAGGAAATCCTTGGAATTGAAAGTATTTATCATTAGCAAATAAGTAATGTAGTATAGGATTAAAGACTAGGCTGGACATAACTAAGATTTAATTTTAAAAAAACCTAAGAGAAGGGGAAAAAATAAAACCTAAGAGAAGGGAAATGTATAAAGTATGTTTTTAAAAACAACTGGAAATATGAATAAAATATTGATAAAATAGTGTATACATTTTTTGAAGATAAACTGATTTTTAGTATGAAAAGAAAATTTAAAATAAATCAGGAAAGTAGAAAACCTATTGGCTCCAGGAAGATGGCTTGAAGGGCTGGAACACATGCTTCACAAATTGGAGCCCCCCCAAAAACAATCCTCAGCACTGCACATTCCCTTCAGCACCTCTGGGAATGCTTCCCTATGCTGCAGATGGTGGCCCCGACAGGAGCAGATTCAAAAATCCAAAATGGCTGAGAATATGAATTTTGCCTCTAATAAAAATATTATTATCCTTTTATTCTGTTTTAATAACTGCAACTGCAAAAAATGTTCCAAGTATATCATTTGAAAAAGATGTACTTGACTGATTCGGAGTTAAGCTAATGATGTCATAAAAGGGTGTCAGGCAAGGTACCTCTTCCTTTTCCTCCTCATTTCTATGGGGTAAGATTATACACCCAAAGAAAATGTGTAGTGGAGAAATGGTTGGTGCAAAATATTTAAAACAATGAATGCTATTTAAGAAAAATACATTAAGCATCCACAAACACTGCAGTAACCACTTATTTTTCAGTGTTCTAGAACAATCACAAATTATTCCAAGGAACCCTAGTACTCTACCACTTCAGTTTCAGTGACTATTTTTTTTTAATTGTAACACTTAACTTTAAAATCATCCTTCCCTGAGAACAAAAGGGAATGCCCTGCCACAGAGGCAAGGTGGGATGGGGGGATGGGGGGCGGGAGGGATACCGGGATTAGTGGTGGTGGAGAATGGGCACTGGTGGAGGGATGGGTACTCGATCATTGTATAACTGAAACCCAAGCACAAAAATTTGTAAGTCTACAACTGTACCTCATGGTGTTTCACTAATAAAAATTTTTTTAAAAATAAAAATAAATAAATAAATCAGGGGAAAGTCTACATCTAGATGTCATTTCTACAAGAACTTATCACTTATCACGGTCCTCCCGTTCATCAATTTGCTCGAGCGGGCCCAGTAACGTCTCCTTCGTGAGACTTGTTGTTACTGTGTTTGGCATATCGAATATGTCACAGGTAGCTTGCCAGGCTCTGCCGCCGTGCGGGTGAAATACTCTCGGTAGCTTGCCAGGCTCTCCAAGAGGGGCAGAGGAATTGAACTCGGATCAGCCATATTGGCTGCATGCAAGGCAAATGCCCTACCGCTGTGCTATCGCTCCAAGAACAAAATTTTTAAAAATCTGGTAACTCCCAGAATTAGAGGAAAACATTGAGGGTTGCCCACAAGGGAAAAAGGCTGGTATCAGACTTCTTATCCTTAATTATGTTGTTAGAAGACAGATTGAACTCCCATTACAATATTCTATGAAAAATTATTTTAAACCTAGAATTCATTCTCAGCCAACTCTCACATTAAGTATAAGGGCTAAAGAAAACATTTTTGGGAGTTGAAAAGATAGTATAATAGGTAAAGTGCTTGCCTTCCATCTGACTGACCCACGTTTGTGCCCCAGCATCACCAAATTGTGACCCAAAAACCAAATAAAAGGGGCAAGTGTGTCCTACCACCCTTTTTCCCACCATAAAAGTCAGAGCTTTGTGAAGAATGTTACCAAAAGAGTAAACAGTACACATAGAGTGTGATTAAATTTGTGGGGTTCATTGTAATATGCTGATGATATATGAAGGCTTATAATCTGACCTGGTGAGAGGCTGGAGTGGTAACACAGTTGGTAGAGCATTTGCCTTGCATGCAGCAGACCCGGTTTCCATCACTGGCACTTCCTATGGTCCTCCAAGCCTACCAGGAGTGATCCCTGAGTGCACAAAGCGCAGCTGGGTGTGGATCCCCTCTCCCCCCAAAAAAAATTTTTTTTTAAGTTACAGACTAAATTTAATGCAAGCAAGAACATATCATGATTTGTGAAATCTAAGCATATTTTCTGAAATTACAATGATGAATTTTCCTTTGGTCAAGTAATTTAGAAGATACAAGATAGTCCTAGGTTCAGAAAGTATTCAGTGGGTAAAGTGCTTGCCTTGTGTGTACGTAACCCAGGTTCCTTCCTTGGCACCAGCACTGTATTTGGTCCTCCCAAGTGATTCCTCAGTGCAGAGCCATGAGCATATACACCAGTTGAATTTGAATAAAAACATTAATAGTTTTTTTTAATTGAGTCACCGTGAGATAGTTATAGACTTACAAACTTGCATGATTACGTTTCAGTCATACAATGATCAAGCACCCATCCCTCCGCCAGTACCCATTTTGCAACACCAGTGTTCCCAGTACCCTTCCCGCCACCCCCATCTTTTCCCACCCCCTGCCTCTGTAGCAGGCACATTCTCTCTCTCTCTCTCTCTCTCTCTCTCTCTCTCTCTCTCTCTCTCTCTCTCTCCCCCCCCCCTCTCCCTCCCTCCCTCCCTTCCTCTCTTCCTCCCTCCCTCCCTCCCTCCTTTTATGTATTGTGGTTAGCAATACAGGTACTAAGAAGCCATCATGTTTGGTCCATAGTCTTCTTTCAGCACATGTCTCCCATCCTAAGCGATCTCTCCAACCATCATTTAGGTAGTTGTTCTTTCTCTATTCCAGCTGCTTTTTCCCCCACCTTGTGAAGCCAGTTTTCAAGCCATGGTGCCATCCTTCTGGCCCTCATCTCTACCATCCTTAGTGTTAGTCTCCTATTATGTTACTTTATATTTCACGATGAGTGCAGTCATTCTATGTCTGTCGCTCTCTTTCTAATTTCACTTAGCATGGTACTCTTCATGTCCATTCATTTACAAGCAGATTTTGTGACTTCATCTTTACTAACAGCTGCATAGTATTCCATTGTGTAAATGTACCAAAGTTTCTTTAACCAGTCGTCTCTTCTCGGGTACAAAAATATGGAACGCTTCATGAGATTGAGTGTTATCTGCACAGGGGCCATGCTTATCTTCTCTGTCATTCCAATTTTAGTATATGTGCTGCCGAAGTGAGCACCATTAATACTTAGAATATGCTTAGGGGCATGGTTGATAATAGAGAAATTAAGATACTTTGCAGTAAAAAGAGAGCTTAACACTGAGTACATACACAAAAAAGGGCTATTTGTATTGTTTTGAAAATAGAGGTTTTGACGACGGCAAATTGTAAGCATCATTTTATCTCCCACACCTTTTATAATGGCATTAATCATAAAAGCTCAGCTTTTATATGTGAGACTTTGGGTTCAAGCCCTAGCACTTAGAGGAGTCAGGAATTCTTTAGATTTTAATTCTTTTTTACTCTACTAGTTTGAATCCCCAGAGTTCTTATTATTCTGAGCAATAAAAAGACGTGATAAGAGAGACAATTTTTAAACTAAGTTTTCAGCAGGAATTATTTCAAACATTCTGTTCCACATATAAGTTGTAGAGACTTTTAAATCATATAATTAAAACTGCAATTAGTAACTTAATCACCAAGTTTATGTAATTGTATTCTCCCTTCTCTATTCTGTAGGCATTTCCACTTTCACTTCTCTGAAAAGTATTAAAACGTATATACAAGTAGTAGTCAAATCATGACTAGTATTTTCTACGAGAAAATATTTAGTCTGTGTCACTAATATAGGAAAATCGCTACTTATTTCACTCTCTTACAACTCTTCCCTCATTGCCTTCCCTCATAACAACATGAAAAATATGTATTACAGGCTAGAGAGGTCCCTCCTGCATGCAGGACTCTTGGATTCATTGCCCACACCATGTGATCCCTAGGCACCACCATGTGTGGCACTCCCCCCTACTCCCTCAAAAGTGGAGGAGTTTTGATTTTTCTTTGGCTTTATTTTGTTTTGTTGGGAGTGGGTGCAGCTAAGGGCCATACGCAGTGGTGCTCAGGTCACTGTGTGTGGTGCTGGACATCAGAGAGGACCTGACCGTATGCCAACAATGTATTCCTCCATCCACTAATACCTGTTTAAAGGTCATATATTTTCCTTGTATCTCAATAATAAAACAAGTATCTGAAGTTGACTGGAGTTTTTTGAAGTGCATGTTTTGAACTTGGGGGCTTACACATGCAGGGGAGATGCTTCCCTGCTAAGCCGTATCTCCAGATTCTTCAGCTCAAGTTTTTATCATAAACAATTAACATGATACATTTCCCCCTCTTTTCCTAGGCAATGATTTAGTATTTATTATATCAATACCCTGTCAGATGTGTTCTGTACACACTTCATAAGCTAGGTTTGTGTAGTGCTTATCTCAGTCCTTCTCCAGACCTGGGTCCTTCTCCAGACCCTGTTGAGAACTAGAGAATCCTTGTGTCAGCATATAACTGCAATATGTTTTTTTTTTCCAAAAAGTTGTTCACAGTATCTGATTACATTCAATATTTTAACACCAATCCCATCACCATTACACCTTTCCTCCACCTTTATTTCGAGTTTTCACACCACCGCACAAGCCTAACCCAAAGGCAGATGCTAAATAATTTATTTTGTATTGCTTGCTATGAATAATTGACTAAAATGATTCAAAGAGGTTTCCTTAGACAAAAGTGTATGAAAATTATATCTCATCTTGGAGCCATTAAGCCCCTGAATTAGAAATTATTAACATGTTGTTAGAGTTTGAGTCTTGCGTGCTAATATGTGTGTGTACATATATATGTATATATATTTTCATCAAGATTGATTCTCTTCTACTCACAACCCCATCAAATGTGGTGTGCTACTCTTGGTATATCAGTGGCATAATTGTGTCCTGGAATTCTACAATTTTTTCATAGGGTGCTAGAACAGGAGTTAATTTTTTTTTAAACTGGATGGTGATTTGGGGGTTGAGAGGAATCTCTGCAGTGTGTGCTCTCCAACGAGATTTATTTGTGAGTCTGGATCATGTCCATTAAATGCACTTTAAGTGGTGCCCAGAGGCAGTTTGTGGGCATGACTGACAGGAAAGTGGAAGTGCAGGGAGATGTGTGGAGGCCGGCGCATTTTCAGCTCTAGAAGCTTGGAGATTTTCCTTGTACCTGGGTTTTTCGGCAGATTCAGTCTCATGCTAGGGGGGAGGTGGGGCTTGGGGTGAGCCTGTGTGCAGTGTGCTTTTAATAGCTGAATGATGCATGTTACTAAGTGTGCCATGAATTTATCTTCAGTATAATACTTTATTTTCAATATAGTACATGTTTTCTATTGGCAAAAATGCATGTTTAGAGTAGCTAGTGTTTGGGAGTTTTTAAATTCCCAAAATAATTTTTTTATTTTCTACTGTACATTGTAACACATTTAATAGGTTAAATACTATTATAAGTATTTTAATGTTTTAATACAGAAATATGTACGTGCAAAAAATAAGTAGTATGTTAGTAAATTTACTTACTACTCAGCACTAATAATTACCATCTTACGGTAGCTGGAAATATAGTATAACATGTAGGGCCTTACCTTGTAGACTACCAACCTGGATTTGATCCCCAATACCCTGTAGGACCCCCAGTTCATGTCAGGAGTAAATCCTGAGCACTGGGTGTGCTCCCCTCAAAAAAAATTTTTTTAAACCATTTTACTACTCTCCCTAATTGTTTTTGAAGTAATTTCATTGGGAAATTACTTTCATTGGTATCTGTTAAAAAAAAGAGGAATGTTTTAGAGATTTTAGTATCTCTGAAAGTAAGGCTGGTGATTTGTTTTTGGGTCACACCCAGCATTGTTCAGAGCGTAATCTTGGTTCTCTGCTCACAGATCACTCCTGGTGGCCTGGGGGGCCATATGAGGTGCCAGGGATCAGATCTGGGTCTGCTGTGTGCAAGGCAGACACCCTGCCTGCTGCACTGTGGCTCCAAGCCTAGTCAGTTTTACCAGAGTCTAGACTTCGCTTATTCTATCTTCATTGTTTCACTGAAGAAAAAATATTTTTTCAAAGATTTTCTTCTATTTCAAATTTCATGCTTTACATAGGTTGAAAACAGGCTAGTGCTAAACTAGTTGATTTTTCTTTGTTTGCATTTGGGGCACAACTGGGGAGAGACCACCGCTGGCAGTGGGTCAGGGGACTATACAGTGCTGGGGATCAAACCTTGGTTGGAGAGAGGCTGAACTGCCTTACCCCCTGAACTGTCATTCTGTATATAAGTTACTGAGCTGCTTATCTCCATGACCACTAGTAGAAAATATTTTCTAGTTAAGTAAATAGGAAACCATAAAGAGCAACTGTTAGAATGCACGCAGAAGCTTGGGGAGAAGAAGTAGAAGACTGTGACAAGAAGGAATGAAACCTGGGAGACAGTATAGAGCACACTAGTAATTCTAAGCAAGAAGCAGTTGTGGAAAGGAAAGTAGTGAGTTGAAATTTCTATCTTTTTTTAATTTTTATTTTTATAAAGTTATTCACAGTATTTGATTGCATTTAATATTCAAACACCAATCCCACCACTATTATGCCTTCCCACTACCATATTTTGAATGTTCCTGAATCCCAAACCCTGCCGCCAAAGCAGAACCAAAATAATTTATTATGAATAATCTGCTGAAAATGATACAAAAAAGGTTTCTTAGAGGAGAGTGTGTGAAGATTATGCTTCACCCAGGAGCCATTAAGCCCTTCTATAAAAGATTAACAACATGTTAAAGCTTGTATAAGTGAGCATTGTGTATGTGTGTGTATACACATACACACATTGTGTGTGTGTATGTGTATACACACACACACATATATATGCATATATGTGTCTATAAATGTATTTCCCCCTAAGATTGTTTGCCTTCTACTTTAAACATTATCAGATGTGGTGTGCTACTTTTGGTATATCAGGGGTGTAAAGTATGAGATGTCCAGGAATAGATTGACTCATGGGTGACATTCATCCGAGCATATGGAGAGCAGTCGTGAGCATGGCAGCAGTTACTTTCTGGAGGTTTTCAGCTACCCGTCCCTCCACCAGTGCACATTCCCCACCACCAGTCTCCCCAGTATACCCTCCCCCCCCCACCCCCCACCTCCATGGCATACAATATTCCCCATATTCTCTCTCTACTTTAGGGCATTATGGTTTGCAATACAGACACTGAGAGGTCATCATGTTTGGTCCATTATCTACTTTTAGCACACAACTCCCATCCCGACTGATTCCTCCAGCCATCATTTTCTTCTAAGTGATCCCTTCTCTATTCCACCTGCCTTCTCCCCTCCGCTCATGAGGCAGGCTTCCAGCTATGGGGCAATCCTCCTGGCCCTTGTATCTACTGTCCTTGGGTGTCGGTCTCATGTTATTCTATACTCCACAAATGAGTCCTTTAAAAACTAGAAATTGAGCTGCCATATGATCCCACAATACCACTTCTAGGAATATATCCCGAGGATGCAAAAGACACAGTAGAAATGACATCTGTACCTATACGTTCGTTGAAGCACTGTTCACAATAGCCAAAACCTAGAAACAACCCAAGTGCCCTACAACAGGTGACTGGTTAAAGAAACCCCGGTACATTACACAATGGAATACCATGCGGCTGTTAGGAGAGATGAAGTCATGAAATTTGCTTATAAGTGGATAGATATGGAGTATCATGCTAAGTGAAATGAGTCAGAAAGAGAGGCACAGCTTTTCCTCTTTAAAAAAGGCACAAGACAAGGATATCCATTTTTTTAAAAAAAATAACGTAGGAGTACTGCTATTTGTTCAGCCATTGATTAAGCTGTTTGAATTGGGCATGAACTCCATATTACTTTTTTTATTTTATTGTATCACCGTGAGATAGAATTATGAAGCTTTCATGTTTGAGATTCAGCCATACAGTGATGGAACATCCATCCCTCCACCAGTGCTCATTTTCCACCACCAATGTCCCAAGTATCACCAGACACACACACACACACACACACACACACACACACACACACACACACACCCCGCAGTCTTCACCCTGCCTCTATGGCAGACAATTTCCCCAGTACTCTCTCTAATTTTGGGCATTAATTTTGCTCGAATTTTCCCACCACCATTCAAGCCTACCT